AGCTCTTTCTTCTTCTCCTCCCATATTTCTCCTTCTATTTATTCTCTCTGCCTGCCAGCCCTGCCTAGCCTTCCTTTTGCCTTTCTATTGACCATTCAGCTCTTCATTAGACCATCAGGTGTTTTGCACAGGCAAAGTAACGCAGCTTCACGGAGTTAAACAAATGCAACATAAAACAATGTAACACATCTTTGCATCATTAAACAAATGTTCCACAGCACAAATAAATATAACACATCTTAAAATAATATTCTACAACAATTTCTGATTTTGTTAATTTGGCTATTCTTTTTTTTTTTTTTTGGTTTTTCGAGACAGGGTTTCTCTGTGTAGCTTTGCGCCTTTCCTGGAACTCACTTGGTAGCCCAGGCTGGCCTTGAACTCACAAAGATCCGCCTGCCTCTGCCTCCCGAGTGCTGGGATTAAAGGCGTGCGCCACCACCGCCCGGCTTGGATATTCTTAACCATCTTCCTTCCAGGAACCCAGAAGAGAAGCTATGAATGGTGCAAATTATTTTCAGGAAAAGAATCTAAGTGCACCAAACTCTTTCATCCATCTACTTTATTCTTCTGGGATAAAATTATATCTATTCAGCTTCAATTCTGCTCTCATGCCTAACTCCTTTCTTGTCTGATTTCTCTCTACACTTATTTGCTGTCCCCTCTAAGTTCTGTCTTAATTCTCTCATCTTAGTTCTGCCCCATCTAGGTTTTCATCCATCTAGTTCTTTCCCATCTTAGTTCCTCTCCCATCTCCTTCTCTCTCATCTTGTTCTTCCTCCTCTTGTTCTTCCCCATCTGACTCTTTCTCATCTTACATCTCATTCCTCTAGTACTCTCTTCTAGCCCTTCAATCTAGTTCTTCCCCATTTCAGTTCATTCCCCTCCAGTTCTTACCCATCTAGTTCTTCCATTCTCTTTTCTCTTCTCTGTCTCCTCTTTGCTTTGAAAATAAATCTACCTTTTATCCCTTTGGCCCTTATCTCTCCAAGCCCTTATCTCTCCAAGCTATCTCTGCTCCCACAGTTTCTGGCAGGGCAGGAGGAAGTGTGCTCCTTGGCTTAGCACAGCTAAATGTACCTGTAAGTAGCAACCCTTGAGTTCTGAGTTAATTGTTAAGGGTGGATCTAAAACTAGAGATAAGACTTTGGAAAGGAGAAAGTTAAGCTTAATTAGCACATCCGCCAGGCCTTCTCAAACAGATAATCTGGATGCTTAAGTCTGTTCTTAGAGAGTCTGTGAGGTATCTCTGATAAGATACTTCCGTCAGCATCCAGGGATGGTCCTGGCCAGATGCTGCTAATGACGATAATTACAGAAAGGCCTAAATTAGGGATCCTGGCTGCATTACTGCACAGAAGATTATCTAAATATTCCTTTAGTAGAAGGGAAATTGTGCCCAAAGAATGATGGAAAAGCTCGTAGCACACGAGAAATTCATAGCAGGAAATGGCTAATAATCAAAAGCCAGTATTGCCAAGACTCTTTGAGCCTCAGCTTGACCTCCGGAAGGCCCTTGGCTTCTTCCAGGTCTTGTCATAATCAGCTGAAATCCTACTTCCTATATTCTTGCTGCTTGCTGCAGATATTCTCTCTTGCCTTTTGGTTAGTTTGGATAAGGGTTTGTCTGTCCTGTTGATTTTCTCAAAGAACCAACTCTTTGTCATTGATTCTTTGTATTGCTCTCTTTGTTTCTATTTTATTGATTTCAGCCCTCAGTTTGATTATTTCCTGGCATCTACTCCTCCTGGGTGAGTTTGTTTCTTTTTGTTCTAGAGCTTTCAGGTGTGCTGTTAAGTCACTAGTGTGAGATTTCTCCATCTTCTTTATGCAGGCACTTAGTGCTGTGAACTTTCCTCTTAGCACTGCTTTCATAGTGTCCATATGTGTGGGTATGCTGTGCGTTCATTTTCATTGAATTCTAGGAAGTCTTTAATGTCTTTCTTTATTTCTTCCTTGACCCAGTGGTGATTCATTTGGGCATTATTCAGTTACCATGAGATTGTAGGCTTTCTGTAGTTTGTGTTGTTGTTGAATTCTAACTTCAAGCCATGGTGATCTGATAAAATACAGGAGACTATTTCAGGGTTTTTTTTTTTGTTTTTTTTTTTTTTTTTGTATCTGTTGAGATTTGCTTTGTGACTGAGTATGTGGTCAGTTTTAGAGAAGGTTCCATGAGGTGCCAAAAAGAAGGTGTATTCTTTTGTGTTTGGGTGAAATGTTCTATAGATATCTGTTAAGTCCATTTGAGTCATAACATCTGTTAGGTCCCTTATTTCTCTGTTAAGTTTCTGTCTGGCAGACCTGTCCATTGGTGAGAGTGGGGTGTTGAAGTCTTCCACTATTAGTGTGTGGGGTTTGATGTGTGATTTAAGCTTTAGTGATGCTTCTTTCACAGATGTGGGTCACACTCGGTCTTCTTCCTGTTTCCTCTCATTTCACGCCTCTCAGATCTTCATGCCAAACTCATCTCACGCCTCTCAAATCTTCATGCCAAACTCATCAAAGCTTCCAAACCAACAAGTCCCTTTTAGAGACCCGCTTTTTAATTTTCTTATTTGACACAATAAGTTTATCCTATCAGTGTGACTACAGGTAGTTTTGGGAATGACAGTGGGGTGCAGAGCCTTACCAATGGGTACAATAAAGAAGGCAATGTTTCTCCTTGCAGAAAAATCTTTCCATGGCCCATAGGTCAGAATGGAAGGGTAAAATCCAATGAATCAGTTCCTCATCCAGAATTCCCAACACAGTCTTGTATAGGCTCAGCGCAGGGAAACAAGTAATATGTGAATTAAGGCCAAAACAGTATAAGTAAGACTTTATAAAAGAAAAAAATGATATAGCCAAAGAAACAATAATCAACGTGAAGAGGAAGCCCACAGAACAGGGGGGAAACTTTGCCAGCTCTAGAGCTGGTATAGGATTAATATACAGAAGACATAAAGAGCTAAAAACAAACAAACAAACAAACAGAGTCAGAAAATAAGTACTCCAGCTGGGCGGTGGTGGCGCATGCCTTTAATCCTAGCACTTGGAAGGCAGAGGCAGGTGGATTTCAAAGCAAAGTTCCAGGACAGCCAGGACTGTTATACAGAGAAACCCTGTCTCTAAAAACAAGCAAAAACAAACAAAAAACAAAAAAGAAAGAAAGAAGAAGAAAATAAACACTCCATTCAAAATGGGTCTTGGATCCATCGAGAATATTTAATTTTTTTCTTTTTTCTTTTTTTTTTTTTTTGGTTTTTCGAGACAGGGTTTCTCTGTATAGCTTTGCACCTTTCCTGGAACTCACTTGGTAGTTCAGGCTGGCCTCGAACTCACAGAGATCCACCTGCCTCTGCCTCCTGAGTGCTAGGATTAAAGGCGTGCGCCACCACCGCCTGGCTGAGAATATTTAAAAAAAAAAAATACAGAGAACGATGCCTCAGAAACATCTCATAAACATGTCCCTCTACACTAGTCATTTGGAAATGCAAACCAAAGCACCACAGAGATTTCATCTGAACCCAGCCAGGAGGGCAAAGATCAAAACAGACAACAAACAGGACGCCTGGGAAGGGGTGAAGGGAAAAGGGAATGCTTATTCACTCTTGGTGGGATTGCAAAATCGTACAACTCTGCAGACCAGTGCGGATAATTCTCAAGAGGCTGATAGTAAGTATACTGTATGAAATGACTATACCACTCCTTGGCACATGCCCAAAGGACTTGACTTCCTATTTAGATTTTTTTGTTTGTTTGTTTTGTTTTTTCTTTTTTGGTTTTTCGAGACAAGGTTTCTCTGTGTAGTTTTGGTGCCTGTCCTGGATCTCACTCTGTAGACCGGGCTGGCCTCGAACTCACAGAGATCTGCCTGCCTCTGCCTCCTGAGTGCTGGGATTAAAGGCGTGCGCCACCGCCACCCACCTCCTACAGACTTGACTTCCTTTTCCATGGACACATTCTCAGTCAATGCATATTGCTGCTCCTTTCACAATAGCTAGGAAATGGGAACAACCTGGATTCTCTTTAGTTGAGGAATGGATGGTGACAATGTGTTCCACGTACACTATGGAACACTATTCAGAGGTGAATAAAACTGGAATCGTGAACTTTGTGGGTTAATCAAAGCAGGAAGGGGAGATCATATTGAGGGAGCTAACTCAGACCAAGAAATCCAAACATCCCATTTGCATTCTCGTCTGCAGTTCCTAGCTCCAGAGCCACAGATTTATACAACACTGAGTGAACAAAGACGTGAGGAATGTGTAGAGGGACCACACGTAGGGAGGGGCTGAGGATTGGGAGGTCAATGGCAGAATAAAGGTGCTATAAAGATGAAAACAGAATTGTAGGGCCAAAGTTCCAAGTGGGGATGAGGGTGAGGGAAATTTAATACAATGAGGAAGGGAGCGGGGAGCGAAATGAGGACAGAGCTGTTTGATCAAGCCTCAAGGGATATTTTTTATTCATTTTAAAATTTTATTTTGTATTTATATACAAATGCATGAAAATATGCACAAAACATCTGAATGTGGGTATATACATATGTATATGCATAGCCATTCACATCTTTTGGGAGAGGGGGAGGTTTCGAGACAGGGTTTCCCTGTGTAGTTTTGGTGCCTTTCCTGGTTCTTGCTCTGTAGACCAGGCTGGCCTCGAACTCACAGAGATCCTGAGTTCTGGGATTAAAGGTGTGTGCCACTGCCACCTGGCGCCATTCATATCTTAAAAGACGCCAAGCCACTGGGGCTGATCACTTCCCCATAAGAACGAGAGACTAACAAATAGTATCGGGCCTGAGAAAACTCAATTGGAATGACTTGTCAGGTTCTCACTGTGACTGCAAAACAACATCAAGTATCTACTTAGAGCTTGGTTGCATCTCAGAGGTTGTGGATGAGTCCCTATGGCTAAAGTCACCGCACAGGTAGGACACAGGACTCATCAGATCATTCTAACTGGCCCTGTGATCCTAAGTGCTCATTCTGGTCATTTCACTCCCCTGGTTTCAGAAAAATACCATCTAAGATCCCAAGGGAAGAAAACAAACAGTCCGACCCAGATGAAACGCCCATGAACAATGACAGTGAGAAGCAAGGTAAGATAAACAAGAAGGATGTGGGTGACCGGCTCCCACTTTTTCCCCCAGGGTGCTCTTGAGGAGTGAGGGATAAGAGATTTAGATAGAAATATAGAGAGGAGAGAGGAGAGGG